CTCTCTCTCACACACACACACACACACACACACACACACACACACACACACACACATTCCATCGATAGGATGAGCAAAAACGGAATGAATCTTCCGATGAAACGTGGAAATATACACTGTGACTTTTTGAATTTCTCATTCTATCGATCCGAGTAGAGCCGTGGGGCTGGAGACTTAGCTGTTGGCCGAGGTTGGAGACATATAGTCTCTCTCTCTCTCTCTCTCTCTCTCTCTCTCTCTCTCTCTCTCTCTCTCTCTCGCTCTCTGGCTCTCTCTGAAGAGAAGAGTAAAAGCAGACGAAGAAATGTGGAGGATGAAGACGAGGAAGAAAAGGAGGAAGAGGAGGAGAGGAAGAGGAGGAGAGGAGGAGAGGAGGAGGAGGAGGAGGAGGAAAGGAGTAAGAGGAGGAAAGGAGCGAGAGGAGTATGACCAACTCACCTGGGCGCATCTGGTGTGTTGCGACGAAGGGGAAGGACATGGCCACGAATCGGAGGGCGTACTGATGAAGGGCAAGGCGCAGGGACGAAGGGCAGTCCATGGCCACGAAGGGGAGGAAACTCCGGAGGCAGGAAGTCGGTGAGAGGGTAGGCCAGCTGAAGAAAAGGCAACGCCGTGAATAGGACGGCAGGGCGACGGCGGGAAAAAAATTTGTGCGCCGTCTCGTTTTTTTTTTCCCGTTACGCGCCTACCTTCTTCCCCCGAATACAACGTAGGGTAATTATAGCTGTATCTAGACTGAAAGATGCCTCAAATACAGCTATAATGACCGGGGAAGAAGGTACGAGACCGATATGGGGCCCAAAGTCCAGCGGCCTAGCTCAGTTGGTAAGGCACGCAAGTGGCATTCAGGAGGTCATGGGTTCAATCCCCACTGGCCTCATGTACCTTCCTGGGCAAGCTTGGCGCCCGCCACGTAGAGATATACCGTTGGTCCCCCCGCCTGGCACTGACCAGGGACTGCTGATGTTCATAGGGGGAGGGGACCGGAGGGGAGGCGCACAGTGACTGGCCCATCTAAGACTCTCGGCCTTGATGCTACCGGCTGACCCCTGCCCGGTATCGCCCACCTGCTGTAGCAGGTATCGCACCTGCTGGTGGGTGCAGCCCCCACATGTTCCCTCGTTGGAGGCTTGAGCACGGATGTGTGGCTGCTACGGGGTTCCCCGTAATACTATAGTGACAATAAAAAAGGCCTGAAAGGCCGTCCTGTCCAGATTCGACAGGTAATT